AGATCGATGCTTTATACAACTGGTCTATTCCACCGTTGCAGAGTCCCTGAATTTTGGGGGTAAACGTAAAGTAGTTTGGCAGTTTGACAGTTTTTTTTGGGTTATTTTTGGGTTTTTTTGGGCACTAAAAGCATTGTTAGTGGTGAGGAACAAAGAGGTTGTTTGGGAGTGATTAACTTCTGGATAAAGTGATTTTTCACAAAAGCTGAAAGCAAAAGTACCTCATACTTGCTTCTCCAAAACGGTGTTCTGTGTATAAAATAGTGGTGGTGAAAAGCAGAAGCTGACATGCCAAACAGAATAAAATCACTTCCACTCAAAGCAGAAGCTAAATTACTAAAAGCAGCGCACTGCCAAACACCCTCAAAATTTCCTTACCAATTTCTCTCTAACTTTACCTCTCCACCTCATCTTTTTCCTTGTATGAGAGTTTTTTTTGGTTGGTTCACAAGAGTGAAAAATTTGAAAAAGCAATAATAGTGACTTCTTCGGCCAATCAAATGAGACCATGTACAATATATGTGAGGAAACTAAAAAAAACATCTTTTGCGAATTTTTTTTCTCGCGTGTGAATATATCAAAGTACACCGGTGGGAGCTAAAATTTTCTCTCCCATGGGAAATATTCTCACTGTCGTGAGTGGTCTAAGCCAAACTCGGATGTTCTACAATATATAGTACAACCGGTTGTACGGTGTTTCTAGTACATTCACGACGAGTCCTCATTTACGAGTACGTGGATACTCATTTCTCTAAAATTCAGTTATGCTAAAAAATGAGCATTGAATTACTCAAAAATTTATATTTTGTTACTCAAAAATGAGAACTTAGTTACTCAGCAATGAGTATTCATGCGGATGTATGGTATATGTATTCCTTATGTTTAGTGGAGAACTGACTTGTTTGTGCTAAAGCATGAGAGACCGTGTTGGCAGAAATAATGTAGAAGCGCTCGTAACATAAAGGAGATTTCACCTTCTAACGAGAGAGCAAGATATTTATAAGTGCTCGTAACATAAAAAGGAGAGAGATCATCTTAGGGCTCTTGGAGAGCTTCAATCAACATGTGCTAAAGCAACTCATAACGAGAGAGCAAGACCGTTAAATGATAATCTTTTGCTAGAGGGTCTCTTTTAGCCAATTGAGGACTTCTTTGATTGCAAGTGCTTCTACTTCTTTAGGGGAGTGGAATGATGGGATGCTACTTTGATTGCCCTACTCCGGTGTGATTCACATGAATCCCTAAGACGCTTCTACATTAGTTTTCACCCAATCTGTGGGGGGTTTGGTCCGTATGCATGGTCCAAGGGATGTGTTGGTGGAACGGTGGTTATGTTTTCGTCGCAGGAACACATACCAAGTTGTATGCCGCATCGAGGAAGCGGAGGAGAGTTGATAGTGCCAAACCAGCCGTTCCGGGAATTCCATATTGCTATTAGGATAAAAAGGATTATGAAGGTGTTTGCAGATTTATGAGGAGTAAGATTTGGCTGAACCAATTTGGGAAGAATGTTGAACGCAGAGAGAACCAACCAAATGGAGATTGGACTAGACAGCACGTGCAAATAAACAGGTGACAAAGATGTGATGGACTATTTAGTGTGCTCCGTTGCAACGGGGACAGATAGCTGAGACATCAACATTCTCTGAAAGGAGACACGGATGGATGTTGTGGACTGTGCGCCAAACAATGTGATGGATTGGCATGAGAGTGCGGGCAGCCCAGAATTTCTTCTAGAGAGGGGGTGGAAAGGGAGGGACATGATTATGGGCAGAGGGGTTTGGTTCGAGGCAGAGAGAATGGTAGGTTGTTTTGACGGAGTAGAAACTGTTTGAGGTATGTCTCTATAACAGGATGTCAGAAACATGGGTTTCCGACATGGGAAACAGGGTTATGGCAGCGGCATCATCGACATTGAAAGTTATGATAATAATATCCTAGTACGAGGAACCATGATTGATAAGGACTGCTACCTGAAGATCTAGGCAATCAACAGGGGTTGTGGAGAAGGGCTTCGAAGGTGAGAGTTAAGGATCTATCTAAACACGAACAAATTGATCATCACTTGTGTGCCACAATATACCAAAGAGAAGAAGCAATATGGACTCCCAAATGCTACATCTAATAAGACTCGGGGACCTATGAAGAGAACAATCAAAGAGAGAATTGTTAGGATAATATTTGACTATGATGACTTGGGTTGCCAAAGCTTCCAGCCATGCCATATTGCTAAGGAGGGCGACATTGTAGTAGTGTAAGTTACTCCAAAGTAGGAGACACATGTTGCAAGAATGGAGTGAATATGATGGGATTCCTCCAGAATGGTCTTAAAGTAGAGGATGCAATCGTCCGCAAACATGAGGTGCAAGATGACCGGGGCGGTGGGGACAATGTGTATGCTCGAAATAAGCTAAATCCTTGGTGGAGACTTTGTTTGAGAAGTTGCATAATGGCTTCAACATAGATGGTGAAGAGGAATAGGGACAATGGATTCCATTGTTTAATGCCTCTATGAAGGTGGATGGTGGTTACAGTACGATGGTAATGTTGAATGTTGAGCGTAGGCGTGGAGATGCAGAGCATGATGAGTTGGATGAAGGGTAAAGAGAAGCAAATTCAGCACATGATCTCATTGAGAAAGTTTTATTGAACATGATTAAAGGCTTTGCTAACATGAGTTTTAAGTGCCACAAAACCCTCTTTACTCAACGCCAGCCTTTGAGCGAGTGCATGGTTTCAAATGCTATAATTGTTTTATCTTTGATATGGCGATGTTTGATGAATGCACTTTGATAATATAAATGACAGAGGGCAAAACATGTTTTAGACGACTCGCCACTGATTTTCCATGAATTTGTAGATAACTTGGCATAATGCAATGGGGAAAAGATCAAACATTAATTCAAGAATCTTTTTTTAATCAAGACAGTGGTCATGTCATTTAGCCGGAATGGGAGGACACCACGATTGAAATAGGATCAACAAAAGGTGGTGACCTCCTAAAGATAAAAGTCAGGGTTAAGGCCATCTGATCCGAGGGACTTATCAGGGTGCATCCTGAAGATAACTATTTTGATTTCATCTGAAGTATACGGTTGGATAAGGAACATGCTTTGAGATGTAGAGAGAGTACTGTGGTGGATCATGGGAAGAGTAGTGTAGTTGGGTGAGCGATATTGAAATATATTGTCGAAGTACTTGTGGATTATCTCTTCAATACTATTTCCCCGCATTTTCTAGTTGTTGTCATCCCAAAGTTTATGATGAATGTTCTTTTTTAGTCTTGCCAAAGCTACTTTATGGAAATAGTTTATGTTTTGATCACCATTCTTGAGATAAAAGACCTTCGACCATTGCTTCCAAAGAGTTTCATGATAGCAAAGAAGTGGCATTAGCTCAAAGTTCCATAATTTGATGTGGTAAGGGTTCAAGGCAGGGACTAATTACAGAGGTGGCCAGGGTCTCGTTTGCATTGGTCTATTTTCTTATTGTAGCTTTCTTTCAAGGATCACTCGCGCAAAGAGCTTCGTGCCACAAATTGAGAGCTTCTCGTGGACGGTGAGGGTAGGGTGAGACCATACATCTGCGATGATTTCACGACATTCGGGTCCCGAAGTTCATTGATTTTTGAACCTTGTGATTGGCCTGTTTCTCTGAGGATTCAAAATGCAAACTTCAAGAAGAATAGGAAAATGATCACTTGAGCTAAGGTCAAGAGGACTAGAGTTGTGGCTTTGTCAAACTTCCATAGCCAAGCCTCAATTTTTTTTGGTTTGAGGCTTGTTTATTGGGTATTGTATTTTTTTGTTGTTTATGAGGCTTAAAGAGTTAAATGCTTAATATGATATGGTTTTTAATAAGTTAGGCAGTTGGGTTGGTCCAAGGGAGGAATTTGCTTTTTCCTCCTATTTTTCTTTCCTTTTCCTCTTTAACTCCAATCTCAATTTTCTTTTTCCGTTTCAAATTCTTTAAGCGAAACATATTATTATCTAGAAATAACTGAGGGAGTATTGGAGTAATCTGGTTAGAGGCCGCAAATTATGTCGTACCCCCGGTTGTACGGTTAAAACCGTACAGCCGGCTTAATTTCCTAAGGAGGTGTGACCAGAATTGATTGGGAGAAGACGTAGACGCTGATGAAGGGATGCTAGTTCGTTGCCCGTGCTTTATAAAGATATGGCTGTAGAGATACACTGATAGTGGAATGAACAATTACATTAATTCACAATGAGTACTACTTTATTTGCAGAATGAATACTAGTTTATTTCAAGATGAACATTACGTTATTCGTAGCTGAATATTATGATTGTATTAAATAAATGTGTGAAAAAAATGAGTACTACGTTATTTCAAAATGAGTATTTTGTTATTTTAGAATGAGTACCACACTGTTTTAATTCGAAAGGACTAATATATACCTGTCTCTAGTTACATCTAGACCTGGCAAAACTGACCCGGACTCGATAACCCGAACCGAATAACCCGGAACCAAATCCGATTTGACCCGAAAACTGAAATAAACCCGAACACCCGAAATGATTAGAACCGAACCCAAACCGAATGTATTCAGACCCAATTCAGATCTGAATCCGATTAAACCGAACTGATTAAACCCGAACCCGGTTAGATCCGGAACCGGTTACACCCGAAATTGATTAAATTTTATGTACGTCCGTGTTAAATAATAAAATAACTACGGTGTATATCATAAATTGATTAAATTTATTATGTCATATTATTGATTTATTAGTAAATATTTAAAATATATGTGAACTAATATAAACCTAAATCGATACAACCTGAATTGATATAAACTCGAACCGATACAAACCCGCACCAATATAAACTCGATCAGATACAAACTCGAATTGATACAAACTCAAATCGAAACCGAAAACCAGTCAACTCGAAATAAACCCCAGAATCGAACTGACCCAACCCGAACAGATCCAAACAGATTATAACATATATACTATAATAGAACCAAAAAAAATCTAACACGAAGAGAACCTATTCACAGTCTATATCTATCACTACAACTAGCAGAGGTTCCACCGCGGCATATCGACGAACACAGAGAAGAGTAAGATAGCTAGAGCAGATGGCATCGGCGTGGGGGGCATTCTGGGGAACTAGAGTGATGGAAATAGTGAAGAAGCACGACTCCGGCGGCCTCGTTTGGAAGCGGATAAAGCTCACCACCACTCGTAAGGCCAACGCCAAGAAGCGCCTCCGCCGTGTTTGGCAGGTGTCCTCCTATCTGTCTCAGCTCTCTAGTTATGATTACTGTTATTGCAATTCTAACGTTTAGGCTTCGTTTGTTACACAGAATTCAAACTTTGGAATTAGAATTGGAGACAACAATTCCAATTCTGCTCTTTGATAGCACAAAAATATGTGGATTTGAAACTGGTAGTGCCAAAAATGAATTGGAATCGAAGAATTCAATTCCATCCAAATTAATTCCATAGAATTTCAATTTTCAATTCAATTCCAATTCCGTCAATTCCTTGTACCAAACGGACCCTTAGGGTTTTATTAGGGATTTTGATTATTGATTTCTGTCCTTTTTGTTTTTTTTAAAATACCAGTTTGGGTAGAATGTAGCATCACTTCACATTTGTGCATAAATTCACATACCCATTCGTGCTTGCTTGCTGTTACTCCGTACTTTTTTGCTTTTGTTTATCATGGAGATTGTGGTTTCATAGTTGCAACAGTCTTCAGAATGTTTTTTTAAAAATGCATAGCTTGTTTGATGGTTGGTTAATGTACAAAATAAAATTAGAACTCTATCCAAGTCCATTAACTATGTTGCTAGGTAAGAAATTAATACGACACTAATAGGGATGCTTAAAGTGTATCTTTCCCAATACTATTATGGTTCCTTCTTTTTTTTTGTTGTTGATAGCTTTCCGCAAGTCAGAAATTTTCGGCGGTTGATCTTTTCGATGAGATGTGTAATGTATAAGTTGTGACATTTAGTTTGCAAATTACTTTTCTCTATGGCGTGTGTCTTAATCCTTTTATTTGTTGGCTAGTATGCACATATAGAGGCAAGTAGAGTGTAGATTCATAAGCTCATTCAAGAAAAGATTTTTTCCCTTTTGGCCGAGATGCGCATCTAATGAGGGTACTATTTTTTTCTTTAGGGTCTAGTGTCTAACATTTCAGACTTTGGCATGGAATCATAGACCATTACGTAGTTGCTTGTTTGCTACACAATGCTTGCATATCAAATTAGTTATTTTCCATAACATTTGCATATGCCTTGTACAAAGTATATATTTATATGTATACTGTTATACATATGTATTTTCATTTCACCTTATTTTTCCTTTGTTTAGAATCACTTTTTATTATTTTTCAACATCAAGTACTAAGTATATGTTTTTATGCATATGTTTTTTCAGTTCACCTTATTTTTCCTTTTATTATATTTCAACATCCATTTATATGATTTAAAATCTTTTTCATGTTTATGCATGTCCGCTTCATGGGAATTTGCTTCATCTCTTTACATTTGGCTTTATGCACACGCTCTTTGCTAAATAGAAACTTCTGAAATTGGTTTTTTTATCTTATGTTAAATTGCAATTTCGGGCCAGAATGTAGCCAATGGTAAAAACAGCCCGTCAATGCTTTGTGTTGGTCATTGTTATCCTCCAAGTTTCAGGTGTAGTTTAATTTATTAGGGCAGTCATTTCTCAATGGGTCAAAACCTGATGTTGGAATTTAATTTAGTAAAATTCCTTCATACACCCTGATGTTGGAATTTAATTTAGTGAATTTACATGAATTCTCTTGCTCACTTCGATGAAACAATCATACCATTGCCTCTATTGTTTTGACCTCATTGCTGATGAGTTTATGATGAAACTTGGCGAATACGCCCAATAGGGTATGTGCATTTATGATTTATATCTTCTGTTCCTGAGAGGTTAATTCTCATTCTATTTTATGCAAGGTTTGCCTTTCTAGAGTAATATTATATCGAACCAGATTCCTTTCCAAGCAGGATTTCTTTTACGTGGGGTTGCTAGAGAGTAGGGCCAGAAATTGTCTTTAGTCATCCTAAATATCTCAACTACTCAATGTACTCACACAGCTCTTGATTATCATCCATATTCACCAGCTCAGTTGGGGACTACCATAGTTATTATTGGTGCTCGCCATTTGTGCCTATGGTGCAGAGGCGTGCTGTTTCCGCCATAAATGACTTTGGCGTGACGTTCTACGCGTGGCGCGCCAGAGGCTATCACTGTTTGCGCTTCGTTTTCTGGCGAGAAGTGTATGCCAACTACGCACTGCGTGTGGTAAACAATTTTTAAAACATGAGGCTGACCTTGACCTAATTAATCACATTTAAAGACATCACGTCTCTTCTCCGCTTCACATCGCTTCGATACCCTATGCTACAAACCACCTCTGTTCGCTGGATTCTTCTCCAGCATGAGCAGCCCAGTCGCAAGTTGCAAGTCGCACACAGTCGCAAGTCGCAACTTTACTTCACTCACTCACTGCCCGTACATAACAAATTTGTGACTTTATTTATGGTACTCCCTCCGTCCCAAAATGGATGCCCCTGTAACTATTTATGCACCCCTGTAACTAAACTTTTGTTTGTATGTTTTCGTTGATCATTTGATAAAATAAAACATTCTTGTCACCTCTTGTTTTGTAGAACTTTTTATGTACTTTTGAACAATGTAATTTATACTTTTTATTTCTATACCAGTTGTAATTAAAATGATTTTAAAAGTGATGAGATTTTGTACGTTGTTCGGAGATTGACATCCATTGTGGGATGGAGGGAGTATTATTTTGTATATATTACTATGTTTTCTTTTATCCATATTAATGATTATTATTATTATTGCTTCAATTTAATGATTAATATTATTATGTATTTCAATTTTTAAAATGATTAGTATGATTTGGTTCAATTCATTTTAGAAAAAGATGTTTTTGTTTTTTGATTTTTTATTATCTTATTTACTATGTGTATTATTGTCATATTGACAATTATGTAGTGATTAAGATTTAAAATTTATTCTATATATATATATATGTGTGTGTGTGTGTGTGTGTATATATATATATATATATGTAAACAACAACAACAATAACCCAGTTTGGTCCCAAGTGAGTATGGTGTGTGGAGGGTGTGTACGTAGACCTTGCTCTTACTCGAAAATAGAGAGATTGTTTCCAAGAGACCCCTGGCTCACGCAGCACAGATAAAAAACATCATAGAAAACATATTAGCATTAAGGGCAAGAAGTCCTATGTCTTGTCTAATCACCTCCTTCCAATTCTTCTTAGGCCTACCCCTTCCCCTACACCCACCCACCAACGCAAGCCTCTCTTATCTCTACCGGGGCGTCAACACTTCTCCATCTCACATGTCCAAACCACCTAAACCTAGCTTCCAGCAGCTTATCTTCCACAAGTGCCATCCGTCCTCAGATAACCTCATTATGAATTCTATCCATCCTCGTCTGCTCATCCAACAGAACATCCGCATCTCTGTAGCATGCAGTTGGCGAACGTGGGTTTTCTTAACTGCCCAGCACTCTGCACGATACAACATAGCTCGTTTACCATGGACCAATAGAACTTACTTTTCATCCTAGCTGAAATCTTCTTATCGCACATGAACTTTGAAGTTGTGTTCTCTTGCGGTGTCCCCAATTGCTATGGGAAACTTTGTTTTTTTGGTTAGCTTTATTTAGAACCCCCTTGGAAAAAGAATTTTTTTCGCTATATCGTCATGGTTTTAGAAGGTGCACAACTTGCACCTTTGAAGCACTAAGGCATAATTGCATGAAGAACAAGCGCATAAGGTCAAATTCTTATTTCACATGAATGAGGCTTATGCACGCCTTTAGGTCTAAGAGGCTCAGAGGCATGAGTGTGATGGAGCTGAGGGATATCGACTATGGAGAAAGAATTGGAATACTGCCCTCTTTTGAACGGGTTAGTTTTAAATTGTATTGGACTAATTTTTTAAGCTATTGGGAATCTTTTGGAAATAGCGTCTCTACCTTTTGGGTAGGGGTAAGCTGGTAAGGTCTGCGTACATCCATCCTCCTTAGACCTCACTTGTGGGACTTACTCGGTTGTTGTTTGTTGATTTTTAAGCTATTAGGCCTTCTCCTGCGTAGATCCCTTTTCCCCTGTCGATACGAGCCTAGTTTGGCCTTCTCCTGCATTTTTCCTTTTTAAACACAAAACTACAATCTTCTTCCCTTTTTTTTTCCCTTAGTCTATTTGGGCACAATCTTGAGCCTGCCTCATCATTTTGACATCTTCACCAATAATTAAGCAATCCTCAAGCATTCCAACTCCCTCTCTTTCATGTTTTTTTCTCTTACTATTTTTATCCTTTCTATTACAACCAATCTCTCTCTCTCTCTCTACTCTTCTCTGTTTCTTTTCAATCCCTTTTCCCTTTGTAAGTAGCTTGTTAAGTGATATAGATGAAGAAAATGAGGCTCATGATAAGGACAAAGATAAAAAGGAGGATGAAGTTAAAAATTTAGATGATAATGCAATGTATGATGCTATTGCTTTTGAAGATTAGTATTAGTTGGAAATTTAGAATTTCAAGTCTTAAGCATGTGCTAAGTCTTAAGTTTTTATAATTGTTTTGCATGCATATTTTTTCTTTCATATCCTATTGACATGTTGTTTTGCCTTTTTTTAGAGCAATACTCCATGCATTTTCATTTCGGCATGTCAGATTTTATGTCATTGAAATATCATTATATACAAAACTATAGTTAAGAATTTATTTATTTACTTGGTTTATTATTTAGTTATATCAATTCACGGCTTATGCCATGTTAAGCCCAAGCCGACCGCCTCATGATCTCATTTTTTCATTCAAAACATTGGGTCTCATATTTATTGAAGAAGACACCAATTTGGAATAGGATGAAAGATTAAAATTAAGATGATGTTGCACTTGCCTATTTAAACTTTAATACCTAGTTACATTAGGCTGGCTGCCAATATATTCTGCTGAGTATGTACTTTGTATGTTTTTTTTCACGTAGTATCATATGTTATTAATAAATTTGAACAGTTCATACTTTTGGAGTAATGTGTGTCTATGTCTATAGTACGGAGTAATATTTACTCCCTTTCCCCAAAATGAAGTTTATCGTCTGACCTCACGGAGTTTAAGAAGAGTGTTTAGAAGTAAAAAGTGCATGGTTGAAATTTGTTGAGAGGATATAAAAATTTTGTGAGCCACATATTCTTTTCCTTAATGGGGAAGTGAGGAAGTGTAAACTTCATTTTGGGACATCAAAAATGGAAAGTGTAAACTTCATTTTGAGACAGAGTATTTAATAGATGCTTCCTTTCCTATGAAATACTCAAACGATGACCATCTTGCCATTAGCTATCCCGTAATCCCATTTTCAGCGCTGGCCTCTATGCTCAGCTATCTATGAATATAACAATGTTCATCCACAAATATCTTCATCATAAAGTCTTTTTTGTGATGAACCATGTGCTTCTCAAGTCTCGGCAGTCTAATGTTGCACTTACACCCTCAATCCATGTTTTCTAACTATCTCCACTTCCTTTTTATAAGTCCAGCATTCTAACATTTCAATACATTTATACGAACACTTGCCTCTCAATGACAAACATGTTCAAAATTCAAATATACAGTTATCCTCTCTTACTATGTCATCAGTGTCATACACTCTTAGTTTCACACGGATCTCCCTATTGCAAATTCCAATATTTTCAAGTAGTACCAAACATCCATCTTAAGATATATACTTTGCAGTTGCATGAATGTTTATCAATTATACATGTCTTAATAATCCTATATTATGAAATATATAATGAAGTTGATCTAATGCTTATAATACAATAATACTCTCTTTTCAATCTTAGATTGCACATTTTGATACACATTATTGTCTTTCATTTCCATTGTAACTGCAAGTGGCGGAGTGGTATGTATCGTTCATGTGTGTCACATCTTAATCAATATCTGCATTCCTTCATGTACTGATAGATAAAACTGCATACAGATAATTATACCTGTATATCTCATCTAGTAATCTCACACTTGCAGCCTACTTTTTTTAGCCAACTCAGGGGATTTTAATGAGGGCAATTGGGGTCGAGCCTGGGTGAGGAGAGAGATAAGTTGGTGGACTTGGCGCTTCAACCCCTTGAGCACCCCCACTACTATATTTTGTCCAATTTTAGTTATCTTTCCATCATAGTTCCACAAAATGATGCACTAACTAGGATTAAAGTTATCAATGTTCCAAATTTTTAAGGACCTTAGTTGGTATTTGATCATAAATAAGGACCTTATTGTATCCCAATGTACTTTATCTTGGATAAAATTTGTTGACTAATCCATGAAAACAGTGTACTTCAATTTGGATAAGATCCCATCTTATCATCTTTAAGTGCCGATTACTTTCAAAAATTTACTCCGTAAATGTCATCTTACAGTTTAAAATGCATTTTTTTTTACAGAATGAAGCCGTCCTGAGAGCATGTTCTGAAGCTCCTCCCTCAGAGACTACACTTGCAGGTGCTGGAGATGTCAATGTGATGCAACCCATAAAGGGTACCCAAGGTTAGTAAGAAGATGACAATTGAAAAAGTACCAAATAGCTTTGGCTAGAATGTGCATGTTTTTGACATTATATAGCTTTTATCAATCACTTTGAGCCGTGGAAACTGATCTGCACTGAGTCTTGTGTGTGTTTTCACGATGTTTAGTACGTAGGTTGATTGTTTGTTTGTATGGATTTGAACTGTTTCCATTTTTTATATAAACACGGAGTATAATTCTATACGCCAAATGAAACATACCGGAGTATGTCTCACTTGGAAGAAGGGTCTTGGGAGGTTGGGGTGTATGCAAACCTTAACTCTACTCCTAGGAGTAGAGAGGCTTATTCTGCGATGACCCATCCACCCGGGGGCCGGGCCTAAGGAAAAATATTTTTGGATGATGTAAACAAATTGAAAATTATTGAAATTCTTTGGAAAAAAAGAAGATATTTGTGAACTTTTTGAGGTACTCAGAGTATGAAAAAAGACATCCAGTCGAGGGGAGTAGCATTGTCTATCACTATCTCATTAGCTTGTTAAGTGCCCATATTTATTTTTCATTACTCCATCCGTCCTGAAATGTTCTTCCCATTTACTATTCACACAGTCAAACTTTAATCACTTTCTTTACGTATTTTTATTAGGTATTTGATAAAATAATATAGTCTTGTCACCACTTGTTTTGTAGAATTTTTGATGTAGTTTTTAAATATATAAATTTTATTTTTTAATTTTACACCTACAATCAAATAAATTGAATTAAAAATAAAGTCGGTCAAATTTCGTAAACAGAACCGGGAAGATCATTATAGGACGGAGGGAGTATAATATTATTTTATCAGTGTCTTATACTCTTATTAGCTTGTTATACTTGGGCAATAACGTTTCCAATTTAATAATAATAATAATAATAATAGTATTATTATTACTCGGTATTATTATTATTATTTGAAGGATTATTATTATTATTATTATTATTTGTATTATTATTAGTTTTGTATGGAGTATAGTTGGGACAGAGACACTATTAATCTATTATACATTCGCATGTATAGGAGTGGTTCAAGCCATCATGCTTATCAATAGGGCTGTAAACGGATAACCGAAAATTCGATTACCGTCCGTATCTGTATCCGTTTATATAGAAAATATCCGCATCCGTTAAAAACGGTTATTATCCGTATCCGATTAAGGATATCCGATTGCTAAACGGATACGGATTTGGTAATCATACATCCGATCCGTTTATAATCCGCTCCGCATTGACATCCGTTTAAATAACTGTTTATCCGTGTATCCGATCCGTTATATATGGTCTTTCCTAATTTTTTATTTTTATATTTTGTTTCTCTATAGATATCTCAAAGTATAAGACATTTTTATATGCAAAATATATGTGTAAACACATAAAAATATGTGTAGACATGTAAAAATATGTGTATATATGTACCGTGTATATCTTTTTATGATATGAAGTCATCGTATAATATCATAAACTATGAAAAATAAGAAAATAAATATCCCATAAAAAATTATAGTTGATTTAATAATATTTTAATTTAGTTTAATTGAAAATTCAAGTATTGTTTAGTTTAGTTTTAAAAATTGGAAACGGATACGGATATATCCGATATCCGACGGATGCGGATACGGTTTTGATTTTTCAATATCCGTCAAGATCCGTATCCGAATTCGATATCCGACAAAAATAAACGGATACGGATTTGGTAATAGTACATCCGATCCGATTAAAATCCGTTTACACCCCTACTTATCAACCTGTTTCACTTCGTGTCATGTCAGTTTTTGTTTTTTCCATCACTAGACAAGGAGGTGGATCATGCCTAATTTTTTTCATTTATTAAAATAAAAATTACTTAATATATAAGTATTTCATTAACAATAAAATTAAAAATTATATTGACATAATACAAAAAAAGAAAAAAAGAGCTATAGATGCCGAAAAAAGTACATGTACTCGATTAAAAAAATACCTCCATCTTTTTTTCGTTCTTTTATATTCTTCTTTACATCTATTTTAATTAAAATTATTAAACTAAAGAATATGTACTTTATTATTATTAACTTTAAAATTACATATAAAATAGTATTCAAAAAATAAATTTCATTTGATTAAACAGAAAAAACTTAAAATTCAAAACAATAAAAGTAGAAAAAAATTAAAGAAAAAGAAAGAAAGAAAGAAAACAAACCACGAAACAAAGGAAGAAGAAAGCAACACAAGAAAAAAAAGGAAAAGGAAAGAAGAAATTCATCGTGGTGGATATGATGGCCATCACGCGTATCACGATCCCACCGGGCGGTGGGGGGGGGGGGGGTTGCATGGCCATCACAGGCTGAAGTGGCACCGGATGGCCATCATGGCGCACCATCACCCCACAATACCGATCGGCCTAAGTAAATAATAATACCCTTTTAACTTTGAGTAAAATTCTCAAAATGGTCCTTTGTAATAAAGTGTTTTTCTAATTCAGTCCTCAATAAGTTTTAATTACCTAAATGGTCCTCTATAATTGAGATTTATTCCCAAGATAGTCCTTCGTAAATAATGTTACACAAATGAAGATTAATTGGATGATATTTTGGAATTTTGATCATCCAAATTTAAAGTATATTCTCGAAACAGTTATTTCTATACAACTAAATATAAAATTGAAAAAATACATTGACTATAAATAGTTCATGAATTATTTAAAACTCATAAACAATCTTTTAAATTTCAAATCAAATACACATCTTTAGTTAGAAAAAACCATTTTGGGAAAGTACTTCATTATAAATGACAATTTTAAGAATTAATTTTAAATTTAGCGGATAAAGATACCAAAATACCCTCAATTAATCCTCATTTGAGTAACTTTATTTACGAAGGACCATCTTAGGAATAAAATCTCAATGATAGAGGATCACGTAGGTAATTAAAACTTATTGAAGACTGATTTAGAAAAACACCTAATTACGAAGAACTATTTTGGGAATTTACTCTTTAACTTTTCAAGTAAAATAACACCCGTCACTCAACAAAGGAAGGAATCTCTGAGTCCCGATCATATTTGGGCTCTATTCTTGATAACACTTTTTGACTAGAACTGCTACGTCTCTTCTTATTTCTCCAGAATGGAATTATCGATATTTACTCTTCAACAAAACACCCTACTCAGTGAAAAGAAAAGAAATGGAATAAGCAAAGTCACAAAACAAAATGAAAAAAAAAACAGAAACAAAAAAGAAAACAAAGTCTTTTGATGCAAAGGTGAGATCACATTCCAAGCATCACTTTCAATGTGTTGTGGAGAAGTTAAACAAGAGAGAGAGAGAGAGAGAGAGTGTGTGTGTGTGTGTTTGTGCAATTTGATGATGTGAATGGAATGGCTTAGTCGGCTGTGTGTTACGTGTTGGCTTTATCTTTCGATACATCATAGAAATAGAACTGGCGGACCATTTCCATTATTTATTTATTCACATGCTCAAAAAAGAATGTCACACTTACTATTTCGACTTCTCGATAATTTTTGTTTGTTTATTCATTTTGGTTGACCATTTGATAAGATAAACTATTTTTGTTACATCTTGTTTTGTAAAACATTCGATATACTTTTGAACAATGTAATTTTTATTTTTTATTTCTCTATTGATATATAAATAAATAATTTATAAAATATGATATTTTACACGATTTTTGAAATATTACAAATAATTCGGCAGGGAGGGAGTATTATTGAAGTAGTAAGAGTAATTGCAGTTGTAGTGGCGTCTTCACTCACAATATTGCATTGCTGCCACATGTGGGATGTCTCATTTTCCCTACTTGGTCATTCACGTGGTCCATCATCATTTGTAGGAAAAAAAAGTCTTCCCAGTGTATTTATTTACTTTGATTTTTTCGAATCAAGTTGGACAAAATTTTATCATCGATCACTCTTGATTTGTGTGGCATATCAATACAATAAATTAAAATTTTAATAATTCTCAACATGATAAATCTATTAAAATAATTTTTATCTAAAAATACATTACCATTTTTATTTAATTGAGATCTAAAGGTTGTCCTGTGGATGAATACACTAGAATGGAGGTAGTACATTATATTGACATGATTTATGAAAAAAGAAATTATCTTAAATAAAAGTAAAACATATAAAAAGTACCAAAATGGAAGTTACGATATTTTTATCTCCAAAATAGAAGTTCGTACTTTGGTAATGTGACACTGTTTATGGACATTTCACAATACTTTTTAGTAATGCATATGGTCATAATTGGCACTATAAATAAATTTTAACTCCTATTTCGAGAATAAAAATATGAAATTTCTATTTTAGTATATATTCAATACCCGGAGTATTTTTTACTTCAATTTTAGTTCTTTTCCCCTTATAAAATTATCATCATTATTATCATTTCTTTTCTTACTTATTTTTGCATGTTTCGGCAGCTATTGAGGCTAATGACAAGTTTAGATGTCTATCTTATTTAGCTTGAAGGTTCATTCTACTTTGTAAACCATAATAATGAAATATACAAATTGTTACGTATTCTATTACTATTGTTTTGGCTAAACTCCACCATTGGTCCTTCAACTTTATCAATTGTGCACGATTGGTCCTTCAAGTTTTAAAAGTCCATAAATAGTCCTTCAACTTTATAAGTTATGCACGATTGGTCCTTCAAGTTTTAAAAGTGCATAAATAGTCCTTCAAGTACATGTCAGCCCTCCAGATGAGGTCCTTTTGACAGTAAATGTTAAAAGTTAAATGAAATACTAGCTCCATATAATATGGAGTAGTCGTAACTAGTAGAATTTACTCGTATTATATGAAACTAGTATTTCGTTTAACTTTTAATATTTACGGTCAAAAGGACTTCATATGGAGGGCTGACGTGTACCTGAAGGACTACTTATGGACTTTTGAAACTTGAAGGACCAATGGTGCAGAACTCATAAAGTTGAAGGACTATTTATGAACTTTTGAAACTTGAAGGACCAATCGTGCACAACTGATAAAGTTGAAGGACGAATGGTGGATTTTAGCCCTATTGTTTTATCACTCCCTCCGTTCTAATTTGTTGTGTCCAATTTCACTATGGACACAAACATTATAAAAGTGAAAATTATGTTATGAGATATATGACAATTGACAAATTTGTTACATTCTCACAAACGATTCTAGCTAAAAGGGTTGGAAGTATGCAGATCTTACTTATACTTGAAGGGCGAGATTCTATTTTCGATAGACTTTTCAATTAAAAAAATGTTAATAAGAAACTAACTCAATTAAAGGATTATACTTTAACATCGGACATCACGTGCAAGCAAAGATCATGTCTAAGCGAGTCTTGTGCGCGAACATTTTTATTTTATAAAAAATGGGTGACAATAAAATTTAAAATCGTGATCTCTAAATCAACAAAATTCTTATGCTATATCAAAGAAAACAATTTAACTAAAAGTTCAAGAACATAAGACAATAAATTAGGACTATGAGAAAAAGAAAAATAGTACAAACAAATTGGGGCAAAAACAAGAGTAATATCAACTTGATGGATGGATGGATAAATGGGGAAGCCACCTTAAACTCTTAAAGTTGGAAACCCACTGAGTTAATAACCTGTGAATGAAAATTAAAAAAAAAAAGATTGATTGATTGTGACATTGAAGAAGTTTAGAAAACACCTTCAAATTCCTTTGTACAATTTTACATTTTTGCCCAGCCATCACTCATTGTCTTCTTTTCATTTTCCCTTTCAAATTAGTAGTGGCGTATTCCATTAGGAAACCAACTCTTAAATGGTCTGTGGCAGAAATGGACATGCACCTCTTCTTTTATTTTCTTTTCTTTTTTCATCTCTCTCTGAGGGTTTTATGGCCATTGAGTGTTAAAAAAGATGTTTAGACTAATTTCTGTATGTAAACTTTTTGTGAAACTTTTGGATCATGTCATTACTGCTTTACCTCCTTTTGTTAATTATTTAATTTAATTCTGTAGTTTATAATTACTTCCCAAATTGCCAAATCTGCAGGTGATCTCAGCAAGGGGGCAACCTGATGCTTCCGTTCACGGGACCATTTCTCAAACTCTTGAGCATGCCTATGCTTCCCTCTTTCCCCATTCCCTTAAGTTTTGTCTCTTTAAAGTCATATATATATATATATATATATATATATATATATATATATATATATATATATATATATATATATATATATATATATATATATAGGGATTAACTCCAGTGAGATGATACCTTATGGTAAGATGACATGCTTCAATGAGATGACACAACACACAACACTACCAATGGAAGGCTCACCAACTGCCAATGCAAAGCTCACCACTTTTTTTAAATAAAAAAAGTTAAAAAAATAACACCACCACTCAGCCACCACTCAACCACCGCTCAACCACCGGTCCACGGCAATAGTGGGGGTCATCGATGGCGGCCATAGGTCATGGGCGGTCAAAGTGTAAAGCTCACCAACTATCAATGTAAAGCTCACCAACTGTCAATGGAAAGCTCACCAAGGAACAATGCAAAGCTCACCACTTTTTTTTAAAAAAAGGCTAATAAAGCAAAGCTCACCACACTACATTACAAAGCTCACCAATGGACAATGTAAAGTTCACTTGGAAATAAAGCAAAGCTTACCACTTTGAACTCCAAAACCCACCTTTTTTTAAATTTTAAAAATTAAAAAATTAATTAAAAATAAAATAACAACACCGGTCAACCACCGGTCTAGGACGGCAGGGCAGCAGTGGCGGCGGCCGGAGTCCAGCGGCGGCTGTGACCGGATTCCGGCGACGGCGACGGACGGCGGTCAATGCTGGAAGTCAACAGTCAAAGTCCAGTCAGCACCCTTTCCTTTGATTTTTTTTTTTGGAAAAAATTCAAAGTGTTGAAAACATATGGTGAGCTTTGCCTTACACTTTGGTGAGCTTTGTAGTTGTCTTTGGTGAGCTTTACAGTGACCAGTGGTGAGCTTTGTGTCATCTGACCGAAGCATGTCATCTCCCCGTAAGGTGTCATCTCACTGGAGTCAATCCCATATATATATATATATATATATATATATATATGTATGTATGTATGTATGTATGTATTAAGTACGGAATTTATATTGAAAATAATCAAAGGATGTTTACAGCAATGTGGGAGAAGCATTCATCCCACCAGTTAAGATTACTAAACAGAAAAGCATTGCGAGTTATTTCTATTAAAGTGCAAATGAAAACCCAAGGACTTCAGCGTTTCATCCATATGCATCCATTTCTTGCCTTTGTGAATCCATATCCATTGTTGTATCGTCTTCATGACTGTTGCGATAATAGTCCCTTCTTTGAGGGCTTTCCCGGCGTATTTCACTTCGTTGTGAGCCTTCCATAGTCCCCATGCAATGAAGCCGGGGAGGACCGAGGTGATTTTATCCTGCAGCTTGTTTCTTGGCGTGCTAATCCACCATTTCATGCAGGTATCGTGTAGGGTATCTTCCCTACTAGGAATGGGACCATCAAAAAGAGCTGAGAAGAACCTCCAAATTCTGAAGGACAATTGACACTGGAAGAGGGTATGGTTGAGGTACTGCGGGCCGTTGAGACAGAAGCTGCATTGGGAAGGAAGGGCAAGGTTAAACCTGGATAAGTTTTCCGGGAATGGGAGTATATTATTGAAAGCTTTCCACATGAAGAGGCTGATCTTTGGGACCTGAAGCTTGTTCCAAATCATCTTATGGGCAAGAGAGATAGGCTTAGAATCCCTCCAGGCGTGGTATGCCAACTTGGTGGTGAAGGGCTCTCCCTCCCAGGTGTCGGTTTCATCCACTTCCTGGACATGTTGTAAGGCCCAGCTATGTATCCTTGCAACCCTTTTCCAGGTAACCGTGTCTGTAGGACGTTCTTGAAAAGAATCCGGCCTGTATCTTCTCCTCATGTATTCCCCCCA